GGCCTGGAGAAAGTGTTAAGGATAAAGAAAAAGAGAATGAGAAGGAAGAGAGAAAAGAATGGAAGATAACATAGCAAAAATAAAAGCACATCCTGAATATAATTATGCCCAAACTGTATTGGATAACAGCTTAGCTTGATTTCTGTTTGGGCTGTGAACATCAAATTGTGTAGTATATGATCACCTATCAACACTACTTTTGAAATGATTAGCTAGCTACACATAATCATGGTACACAGTTTTCTACCTGACTTTTACCACATCACCCCCAACCTCCACCCCCTGCCTTCACCCCCACATAAAAATTTGAAGGCGTCTAAACAAAGATTACTCTGGAGACTTAAATAGCTATGAGCAATGATGCATCTCACAGGCAGAAGAAAATGAAGTCAAGTCAGGTGAGTACAATGGGTGCCTATGCTGAGCTGAATGGCCAATTCAGTGTAGAATATTGGCAAATGTTTAGTACTTGAAATTAGAGACACTTTAATTTGAAAACTGATTCTATCACTTACCAGCTGTCTGACATTGGCAAAATTACTTAAATTCTCTAAGTCTCAAGTTCTTCATCTAGAAAATGAGGATGATAATGACAACTCCTAGTGTTATAAGAAATAAATGTAAGAATGTATGTGGAGTACATGCCATATGGCTTAGTACATTGTGCTCAAAAAAGGATATGACAGGTAAAGAAGCATCAAAGCACCAGAGAGTGATGTCATTTTTCCTGGTTTGAAAATAAAAATTTTGCTTTTCTTTGGCAAAATAAGAAAATTTTCCTTTTCTTACTTTCTTTGAAAATAAAGACTTTGCATTTCTATTGGTTCATCACTTAGGCTGAAAGACAATTTCACCATCAAATTCTTTGGTTTGGTTTTTTTAAGAGAGACTTCATCTTGAACGCAGCTGCTTAACTACACTGCCAACTTAAAAAAGCAAGTCATTTCTAAGTTTGGTGGATTTATTGGCATTGTTTTTTAATTCAAATATTTATCATTATTGCCAAATCTCACTCTGTTCAAAAATAAAAAATTCAGCACACCATCCTTTATGTAACCTCGACTTACATTACTGAATAGTAGCTGTAAGATAGACTTATTATTATTATTATTATTATTATTATTTTTACCTAGGTCTTCAGGCAGGAAATATGTGATTAGCTCTTAATTGGGATCTGACTCTTCTGGTAGGAACTGGGCTAGCTTTGAACCAGCAGTAACTTGTTGCAAGTAGCTGTTCAAAGTGGCGAAATGTTTATTAATACAGAGATAGGCTTTAGAAAATGTCTAAGTTATATACATTTGCTCTAAATTTTGTTTGCATTCTTCCTTAATCACAAATATGGCTTATATAATAATTCTATCCATATATAGACACACAGCAGAATTACTAATTCTTAGGAATTAAGGTACACCAATTTAGCATTTAGAGAATAAAGCCCCTGCCTTTATTATTAGTTAAGACTTAAAAATTTCCAATAAAACAGACAGAATGCAAATACTATGACACACGTACCAGGTCAAACGCCTAATGAGAGGCCCACTGAATATGGAAAGGGATCTGGGCCTCATCTAGTTTGGAAATTCTCAGAATTTGTCTGCAAAAATTACATGTGTATCTATGTCTATATATGGTCATTTATCTGACCATTTTATAGTTTCATCAAGGAAGACACAAAGGATGGTAAGAACCAAGGCATTGGGTGGCCTGGTACTTTTATTGCCACCAGTCACCTCTTTAAGGAAAAGTTATTGGAGGAAGTATAAGAGAATCCTTGAAATGGGCCACCACCACACATTAGGATGCTGCACACATGAGCTGGTGATCTCCTGCTGCCCGTTTCTGTGGTGAAATTTTATATATATGTATGAAGGCTGGCCATAGATGGAGGAAGCAGAATTTGAAAGAAAAAGCATGGCAGGCCTCCACAGTGGGGATTGCGAGCGTGGGATTGTTGTTTCCTGTATCAAAGGAGAAAACTGACAGGAGCATGAGTGTTCTAATGTTTTTCATTCAGCAAAGATAAATCAGAAGGCCTTTCTTTGCTCCTGGGCCTGCACCTCTTTTAAGAGTTACTCTGTGGTTGGAAGAGTCGGGATGCTGAACGCAAGACACAGTGGCCCCAGGCAAGGCGGCTGGCTAGGGCTGACTAGGGCTAGCTGACTGCCAGCTGTCTTAGCGTTGAGTTGCAATAAACTCTGCGAGGTGTCTCTTTGCTGCAGACAGAGTCTGTTTCCCTTGACAGTGTTCAATCTAGTTAGCGCTGCGCGTTAAACTTCCCAGCCTGCGCCTCGAATTTTGCTGCTGCAGTAGTAGGACCACATCTTTCTAGCATGAGAGGGCTCCTCGAGGATTCATTTTTCTTTGGTTCCTCCGCAGCCAGCTCACCGCTAGGCTCTGGCTTTGTTGGCTCACAGACTTCACTTCAGTTACAGAGTTATTCTCCACTTACTCTGCTAAACGTCCACGTGCGTGGAATTGGTAAGGGGAGCACATTAATTCGCAGTTTTACTGCCCGGTGGTCAAACAGGAGCTAATTTCTACTCAACTAAGTTTTGCTGCGCTCAGGTAATTCATCTGGATCCTTTCCCTTTCGCTACTGATTCCCTCCCTGCTCCTCTCGGGTCCGCTGAATTTTCCCTAAAACTTGCCGGAGGTTCCTTCTAGCGCCGCTGGGGACTGCAGCACTGGCGCTTGGAGGGGCGACCCAGGCACCCGCGACTTTGCAGGGTCCCTTTCTCTTTTGGGCGTTTCACACACATGCGCCTCTGTGCAAACACCTACGTTTTATGTGTTTTAAAGTGAGAAAGGAATGACTGAAATGTGGAAGTCAGGTTAAGGAAATCGGGTTTTTCACTGAACTCTGCCAAGATCCGGTCAGTATGAAGGCTGTGTGTGAGTTTATGCAGCTCTTTACCAAAGAGGGTAAAATCAAACTCTGCCCACAAGTGGCAGATTCCGCTGGGAGTCTGGGAGTCTGCGAAGCAGTGGAGGCGTGGCTCGAGAAAGCCACAGGTCCCCAAACCGCTAAAGCCAAAAACCGTTTAGGGAAAAAGTTTTGTTTTGTTTTTCTCCTTCCCAAGCTCCTAAGCAGAAATTAAAAGAGAAAAGGTGACATGGAGCTGGTTACATTCCTGTTGGCCTTCCCCGCCTCCCATCCCTTTAGCAGTTCTCGCTAATCGTTTCCAGTTCTCCTAGGATAACGGGAAAATTGTTTCCTGGCACGCAGCACTCCCACAGGACACACCCGTAACCAAACACACTTTTGATCCATCGTGGCCAAGGCCCCCACCTAGTGGTTTAAACTCGCCGGCTTTGCTGCCCTCTCCTATGGTTTCTAAGTGAGCTGCAGTTTGCAAAAATAATTGTTTATCTAGGTGGATTGGGTGGGCGGATGGGGAGGATCCCTTAAAATGTGATGAAAATGAGGCTTAAGGTTAGTGGAAAAATGCTGGGTGCTGGGACTGGAGGAGAAAAAGCGAAAAGACTGTGCTTTTATCCTCAGGGTGGCTGCTGCAGCCCAGAATGCATCTAGAGGACGTCCTTGAAGAGCTGCCACCTTAGTTAAAGGAGTACCCTCACTCTCAATGCATGGATGTGTTTTATTTTCTTCATAACACTTAACTAGAAAAGTACAAGTATTATTTACTTGTTCACGTAGTCATTGTTTGTCTGTCTCTTCTAGAATGTTAACTGCTGAAAAAGAGGGTTTGAGTTTACTCCCATTGGCCTCCATACCTCTGGTGCTTAGAAAAATAGTCAGCATAGAGTAGGCGCTCTATTTTTTGCCTGCTGACTGGTTTAAAGAACCGGGAATTAAGGGAACTTGGGTTTGTGCTTTATTGCCTTGGGTAAAAAGCTCTTCTTTCAAAGGATCTCAATTACTCTTTCTCTAAAGCTGGGTGGATGGATCAGATCAGATAACCTTAGGTTCTGACACAGAATGATTCTCTTCAAAATATATGTGTGCTTCATCGGATGAATTCAATTACAATGCAGTTTTTATTAGATACACTCTACGTGCCAAGCATGGATCCAGGCTCTAGGAATTCATAGTGGGGATCCTCGGAGCTGAAAATACCTTGTCCTTTGCTGGAGCTTTTCTTCACACGTTCTGATTTGCATTTCTACCCTACATTCGTTTCTGTTAAGGGTAGAGGAGAAACTGAGGACAGGGCTCTGTCCCTGGTCATGAGACCTAGGTACCGGCATTGCATCTGGCGGCTTAAGGCTGACATCCCCACATATTAGGCGAAGGCAAAGGAGATGATGATGCTGATGATGGTTCCAGTTCTCCCCCTTCCCAATCCCCCCCCCCTTTTTTTGAATTCTGATGACCTCCTTTCTAGGTAGGCTGTTGGAAGGCACATGCTCAGTGGAAACTGTTTTCCAGAGGCACTGAAGCGCTGAGCAGCTGGAGCAGGAGGGTGGAGCAGAAGGTTTAATTTCACATACACTTGGCTTCTGGTTGTGATACTTCTACATTTCGCAGACAGTTTTTTATTTTCTTTTTCCCTGTTGACTCACAGTTGAGTGAAAAACATAAATTTCTAAAACTAGATGAAAAAATAGTTGTTATTGCATCAAGTTAAGAATGACAGGAAGCCAGAGGCTTAAAGTACAAAATGAAAACATTGGCCCCTCTACAGCGTTACTGGTGTCTTCTTATAAACTGGGTGCGGTCCTTGTGGCTGGATTTGATTCTAGAGCGGAAAGGTCAGAGACCAGGGCTTCCCCGCCGAACGCTGACCTCCTAGGGAGGGAGTGGTAGACGGGAGTCTAGGACCAGACTCCTGGACTAAGCCCGTGACCGTGGCTAAGGACATGGGTCTCACTGGAGGACTGCGCTGCAAGCTCCGAAGTCCGCAGAGGCGAAAACAGGACGCCCTCTTCCCCTGGCCAGAACTGCGGCTCAAGGTTGTCAGGGCTAGGAGAGGGGTCGGAGGTGGGAAGCGGAAGAGAGGGCGGTAGGACCCGGAGGGAGCTTCCTTGGCCTGGAAGAGAACGGGGCGGGGGGGGAGGGGAAGAGGGAGGGAGAGATTAAAAGGGAAGGTGATGGGGAGCAGCCGTCCGCACTCGCTGCGCTGCACTAGTTGCAAGGCTTGGCGGACCGGACCTGGACTCTATATAAGGAGCCCATCTGCTCCGTAGCTCACACGCTCCTCCCGGGCTGGCGCATGCCGCGTTCCTCCAGCTTCCCCAGACACCTGCCCCTTCCCCGTGTGCCGCGCCAGGTCCTCCAGACCCGCGCACCCAGTGGCATGGCTCCGAGTGGTTCCCGTGGGACCAGGGTGGCGGTGGCGGCGGCGCAGCCCGAACTGCCGCAACTCCAGCCCCCGAGTCCCCCCTTTTATGGCCCGGTCTCCGCGGGGCAGCTCGTCCGAGTGGCCAGAGCGTGAAAAGAGAGGGAGGGCAGAGCTCTGGCGCGAGGCGCCGCGCAGCTCTGCTACTGGACTTCACCCCACCCAGTTCTGGCGGCAGCTGCAGCCTCAAAAAAAGTACCCCAGCTTGGGGCGAGGGGCGGGAATGCAAGATCGGGACCTCTCGCTGGCCTGCAAGCTTTGGTCTCCACACCTAGGAAACTCCTGCGGGCAAAGTCTGCAGATCCAAGAGCGTCCAGGTTAGGACATGCTCAGCCTCAAGCAACTGGGGTAAGAGATCCCATTTGGCCGAAGCCTTCTCCTCAAGCAGTACTTCACCCTCCTGCACTAGACGCCTCCAGGGAGCTGGAGCGGAGCAGGGCTCGGTGGGCCAGTTGTTAGCAACCCAGGGCTGAGATCGGCGTGGAGAGGAGCAATCACAGACGCGGCTGCTTCGCCAGGCGCTCTAGAAGTGCAGGGTACGCGCCCGCCTGCCTCGGCTGCCGCACCCATGACCTCCAGTTTCAGCTGTGAACCTGGGCGGAGGAATAATTGAGGAACTCACGGAACTAACTGTCAACTAGGGACAAACCTGTGATTGCCACGGTCCTTCCGCCCTCTCTTTCGTCCGCTCCATGCCTAAGAGCTGCGCTCCGGGGCTGGGGCGAGGAAAGCCATGGAAGAACACGGTGCTCAGTGCGCTCCACCGCCGCCCGCGGGCTCCGAGAACCTGGTTCCTGAAGCCAACCTATCCTCTGCTCCCTCCCACAACTGCAGCGCCGCCGAGGGCTACATTTACCAGGACTCCATAGCCCTACCCTGGAAAGTACTGCTGGTTATGCTACTGGCGCTCATCACCTTGGCCACCACGCTCTCCAACGCCTTTGTGATTGCAACAGTGTACCGGACCCGGAAGCTGCACACCCCGGCTAACTATCTGATCGCCTCCCTGGCGGTCACCGACCTGCTCGTGTCCATCCTGGTGATGCCCATCAGCACCATGTACACTGTCACCGGCCGCTGGACACTGGGCCAGGTGGTCTGTGACTTCTGGCTGTCGTCGGACATCACTTGTTGCACTGCCTCCATCCTGCATCTCTGTGTCATCGCCCTGGACCGCTACTGGGCCATCACGGACGCCGTGGAGTACTCAGCTAAAAGGACTCCCAAGAGGGCGGCGGTCATGATCGCGCTGGTATGGGTCTTCTCCATCTCCATCTCGCTGCCGCCCTTCTTCTGGCGTCAGGCCAAGGCCGAAGAGGAGGTGTCGGACTGCGTGGTGAACACCGACCACATCCTCTACACGGTCTACTCCACGGTGGGTGCTTTCTACTTCCCCACCCTGCTCCTCATCGCCCTCTACGGCCGCATCTACGTGGAAGCCCGCTCCCGGATTTTGAAACAGACGCCCAACAGGACCGGCAAGCGCTTGACCCGAGCCCAGCTGATAACCGACTCCCCCGGGTCCACGTCCTCGGTCACCTCTATTAACTCGCGGGTTCCCGACGTGCCTAGCGAATCTGGGTCTCCTGTGTACGTGAACCAAGTTAAAGTGCGAGTCTCCGACGCCCTGCTGGAAAAGAAGAAACTCATGGCCGCTAGGGAGCGCAAAGCCACCAAGACCTTGGGGATCATTTTGGGAGCCTTCATTGTGTGTTGGCTGCCCTTCTTCATCATCTCGCTGGCGATGCCTATCTGCAAAGATGCCTGCTGGTTCCACCTAGCCATCTTTGACTTCTTCACTTGGCTGGGCTATCTCAACTCCCTCATTAACCCCATCATCTATACCATGTCCAATGAGGACTTTAAACAAGCGTTCCATAAACTGATACGTTTTAAGTGCACAAGTTGACTTGCCAATTGCAGTGGGGTCGCGTAAGCGACCTTTGGGGACCAAGTTGTGTCTGGTTCCACAGGTAGGTCGAATCTTCTTTCGCGGTTACTGGGTCACAGCGAGGCTCTCTCTCCTGGGCAAGGGCAATGGATCCTGAGAAGCCAGGATAGTCCTGAGAGAGAGCTCTGAAAGGAGAAATGTTCAAACTAAATGTAGAGCTTCCTGCCCAGGAGGAGGCTCCCTTCCTCCCCTCAAGCCCCGGGCTCAGCACTGACCCTGCGGCAGCCAATCCCAAAGGGGGTTGCAACTTTTAGAAATTGATGATGGAGAGGGGATCCCTGCCCTGCTTTGGTATCATGGATAATGCCCACTAGAACCAGTGTACTTGTAATTGTCTGAAGCCTGTCTGAGACAGATCCACATACAGCCTGGCAGTACTTGAACTAGACGCTTAATGCCCTATGTTTTTGGGGAGAACTTTGTGTTACAGCTTAATTTAAGAACAGTTACTTTGGCATCATTCAGTCTTCAGTTTTTGTCTATTTAAACTTGGTTGGAGAAACTTGTGGATTTGGTGCTTCAAACCCTATGTGTAGCTGGATGGCGGAGAGAAACCTTGAAGAGTTAACAGCAAAATTCTGATGCTGAGATTTATATTTTTATTATACTTGAAACTATATGGGGGTGGGTGGGTGGGAATGGGAGATGAGGCGTGTTAAACTGAGAACCAACATCTATGATTGTTTTCTGCAGATTTGTAATTTTGTAATTCCTGTTTAGCGATTGTCAAACCACAACTCTAACAAACAAACCATTATGTGTGCTAGTGCCAAAGTCTGCAGTTTTATTTTTTCTCTTATTTTCACGTACTTGTCACTTTACACACTTAAATCCCCATAAATGAAGGGTATGATGGGTGACTCAGCCCACACTGCTGCTATATTTCTTACTAGTGCAATTGGTGAAACAGATTAGTATTGGAAATATACTGTTCTTTAACAAGAGAAGTGTCTTTATTTCTAATCCAATTTAGTGAGATGTGAAGGAGACTGATGACATGGTGATAGTTCTTACACAATTGAGGTGGGGGCAACAGGAGGATGTATATTTTGACTTGTAAAAAAATCTTAAAATGCATGAGACTTTTATCTGATAGTCATTTGCACTCTCCTTCCCATCTGTGATTTCTTGTGTGCTAACATGTAAAGTGACCAAGAGAACTATCTCCCTTCTCCAGAAACCTTTAAAAAACAGTAAGGGTTCTAAAAACTATATTGAAAAGAAAATAAACTTATTTCTTTTTTGTTGTTGTTATCAAAGTTTGGGCAGCGAAAAGATTAATAGAAAATGACATGCAAGAACTTTAGAAAATCTTGGAGGAGCTAAAATTGAGCCTGTTTCTGTTTAGTGTAGTGAGGTTTTTTTTTGTTTTTGTTTGTCACAGAACCAAACCTCAGACTTAGTAAACAGGAAACTGGCCAGCTTTTGACCCTTGTAAATTTGATACCAACCCGACATCTCAATGAATATTATATCTGGAATACTTTAAATCTATCTGGTCTTTTCAAATTTCAAGAATACTCAGTTATTTCAAATTTCCTCTGAGAGCTCCCTAATGCAGGATAAAGTCACACAATAAAATATAAAAAAATGTATTATTTTAATAAGAAGTATCCCTGAGGGATTATCTGCATGAAAAAAAAATGTATATGCACAGCATTCAACATGCCAAAGAAAACTCACACTCCTTTCCTCAGAGGGCATTCTGCAATTGATACCTTTTGTCTGCAGAAGCAAGTTGTCTTTGTGAAATGAATTCACTCCTTGCTTGAAGCTCCCCAGCCTGGTTTGTCAGACAATAAACATATTGAGCTGAAGTACACTGCTTGCCTACTGTACAGACCTTCACCTTGGGTAATCACTCGTGAAAATATACTATTCAAAGATTCACACATAAGCCAACTAAAAAGGGGAGTTTTGATCAATATTTATACCTGTCACTGGAGTGAGAAAATTTTAGGCCTTAGTTATGCCTACACTTCTGCTGAAACCCCAAGTTTCTCTGTTTGCTTTTCGTGACATTTCTCCTATGGAGGAATGTGCATATTGCATGGTATTTGTTTTTATGTTATTAATACTGTGGTCTTCTGTTTATACAGCTGTGTTTTCTTTAGTCCTAAGAGGCAATTAAGTCATCTTCTAAGAGCCTTATGGGGAAACATTAATTGAAACAAATAGCCACTTACAAATTATTTCTTTACAGGGTACCTGCAATGATGGTGTCCTCACATTAACAAAACACAATCAGTTTAGTCAAATGGGTTGTTTGCCATTTTGTAGATTACCCATCTAAATTATTGCTTGACTATTTGGCTGTATTGCCTGGATTTGGGGCATATTGTATGAAATAGAAGCTTGCAAGCCCTTATAGTTATAAGAGATATAGAATCATCATTCAGCATTGCACATGATTATGCAAAGTGTATTATTCATCCCAGGGGTATGTAGTTAAGACTGTTAAACTCCTTTTCAGTTACTGCTGCCTATAGCATAGTTTATTTCATAAACTAGACACATGGCTTTTTTGCAGAACATAAAGCGGGATATGGAAATGTTTAACTTACATATCAATGAAAACATATTTTCATTGGCTGTGGTAACAAACATTTTCCATATTGTTTAACTGCACAAATTTTCACAGAAATATATGAATGTATACTCATTCAATAATACCAATATTGTCTTGTGTTTCTAGGAATTTTAGAGTTTCCTTTTAAAAATGGACACTACACCCATGAATGAATGTTTATTGAGTTCAACAAATTTTCTACAGAACAATATTCTTAACTTTTCCTCTCTGTTATCTTAGTTTTGTCTTCTTTAACCAGGAAACCCTGAGAAGATTATAATTCACTGAAGCAGTAAAATATCAGATTATGTGTATTTGATGGAGTTGCTGTGACTGAAAAATGCCTTTGGTATTCCACCTTTCAGGAAATGTATCATTGGAAATGAAATTTAGGAAAATAAATAAAAGCCCTTTTGTGTTCTAAAATGTATCGGGTATTAGTTCTATTATTATGGAAAGATTGGTTCCTTGGATTCTGGGGTTGTATTTAAGAATTTGAGCCTTCATGGGAGAATGACTAATAGTAAATGATACTGTGGCTGATATGTGCTGCCATGACTTGGGGGATTTAGTTTATATCTGAAAGAAGAATTTGAAAGGAAACAAATGGATTGTGCTTTCATATTCTGCAAAGAGAGAGGATTAGATTTGCTATCGCAAGAGTTTCCCAGATTAGTTTTTAGAAAGGACCTTTACTCTCTAGACTAGGAAGTGAATTTCCAAGGGCTGTACAGTGCTTAAAATACAGAAGGAGGAAATGGGTTAGAAGAAGACTTAAGGGGAGTAGATTGACCTATCTTAAGACCAGTGAAGTAGGCAGAATGGTAGCTTTTGTAGTCAGTCCTAAGTTTGAATTGCAAATAAAGTAGGTTAGAGCTGTGTGGTTCTTCTCAAATACCATCTACCTACAAGTTGATGTGAAGGCTTTGAACCTATACATGTAAAGCACTTATTGAGATGCCTGACCCATTTTTGGCTCTCAGCAGATGGGACTTCCTCTTAGCCATTATTTCCCATTGTCTCTTTTGTGGGTGCAGTGTGCCTCTAGCATAGAACAGGAGTACTTGGAAGAAGTTGGACTGGAAAAGATCCAACTAGCCCAAATGGGACAAACTTGGCAAAAGTAGAAGTGACTGAGGTTTACAGCCTCTTCCAACTAATCCCCTATGCAGGTGACATACAGCCCAAAGAACAAAAGGGAATGAGAAAGATGGTTTGCAGTGATTCTATTGGCCAAGAAGAAATTGCCAAATATTTAATTATTTTTACAGCATCCTTTTATTCACTTTTAAACCCGCTCTTCTTCCTTGTCTAGAGATTTCTGGCTGTGCTTCTAGAATCCAAAGTCCTGGCCACATGCATATTTTTTTTTTTCCTGCAGCACCTCATTTTTCACTTCTCTGCTTTTTTCTTACCCAAATCAAATCATGATATCCAATAATGATGTTTATGGTTCTTGTTTTAGCTGTGAAGGGCTGATGAGGTAACTAAGGCGTTTTCACATTATATGAAAGGGAATTGTTGAACCAAATGAATGTGTAATTGGTGGAGTAAAAGTTTTCAACTGGGGCATCTACTTAAGTTTTCTAAAGGAAAGAGATTGGTAGAGAAAGGGTGGGAGAAGGGAAATCTGCAGTTCATCGAAACCCACCCTGGAACAATCCACCAGGGGGCAGAGTGTCTCTGAGATGTTTAGCAGAAGCAGGCGCAGAACATTCAGGATCTCTAAATTCCTCTCCTAGGACATTTTGCAACTAGTATTAATGCCTCTGTGAAAACAAAGTTCCATGAGGCAAGGAAGAGGTTTATCGTTGATTAGAAATAGCAGGTATTACAGAGCTGTAAATTCAGGCAGAGGTTTGATCATAAAATCAAACCTAAAATTTTTCTTCCTATATGCAAACTGAGTTTTTTTTTTTTAATTAACCTCTAGTCCTGATATAAAGCTAAAATCTTAGCATTTGAAAACATCATGACCTTTTATTAATGTGGCACTGAGCAAATCAGAGATTAGAAGACAATGTACTTATTTCAAAATAAAGGGAGCTAATTATTTACTTAAACGTGTTTTTGCTACTATGATTTTTCTCATCACCGTGGTTTTCTTTTCAAAAATTTTATTAGTTTGAGGTTGATATATCCATAGTTCCAAGGTAGAAAGCTTGCATTTATGATTGAAAGATGTGTCTGTTTTTCACACAGAAGTAAGGTAGATGTCGGGTTTCCCAAAAGGCAGACACTGAAGTCTGTGTAATTTTGGCATTTTAAAAACAGGCATATAGAAATGTGAGTACAATCTTATGTTTCACAAAAATAAATTTTCAGTATCAGAAAACAGATCACATAAAACGAGAAAACGAATGAGATTATATCATTGCCCTTCTCCTATAACATAACTGTTACTCTCACATTTTCATGGTCTCCAAAGGGGAGTTTTCCATATGCCATTTCATACATCTGTCAGTTAAATCAGACTTTAAAGTCAACACTCATATTTTAGGATTATACTAGTATTTTCATTGCTCCCTGGGAGAGAACTGGTCCCTGGAATTGAGCCAGCTGACAAAGAGAGTAACTTAATATTATTCCAAGTAGAATTTGTAAAAGAAAATGTCCATTTATTTTGACTTATTTGTGTATATCTCAAAAGATCAGAGAAATCCTTTTCAAAACTACTAAGTGGAAATCTATATGACAAGAATGGTCTTATAATATTTTCTGTGCCAAAAGTGAACAGATGGTGATGAGGGGATCCATTTATGGTAAATGCTTTAAAAATCTACACAAGCCTTGCTTAAATGATGTAAGAAGGCATGACTCACATCCTCCCTGACTCTTTGGGAACATTCCACCCATTGGCCTCTGGCTGGTCATCCTATATAGGGAGAAACAGATTTTGAGATATCTCCTGCTCACAAGTATGGTGACCTTCTGTGGTGATGGGTCAGGAGTGATAGAGCAGTCCACAAAGGGTAGGTTCCTTGGTCTGAGAGCCGTGCTCACAGTACTTTTGTAAACACTCCTGCGTGTCTTTGCTAAGCCCATTTGCTTAAATCAGTTTATGATGGAGTCTGTAGACATGCAGATCCCCTGTGGTTTATCAATCCATTTGCTCATTTATACTTGCAATTGGCTGAGGACAGGGGCTGATGTGATTTTGTGGAGAAACAGTTTTATCTTCATCTTTCCATCCCAGTCTTGACTACCTTTAGGTTCTTGATGTTCATTCTTCTGCCCTGCCCCTCTAATCTTTCCCATACAATGCTTCATGTTGTGGTAATCACACAATGGGAAGTTGGGAACTAGCTACTGGTCTAAAAGCCTCCAACATATATTGGTGGATATAAAATGCAAGAGAAAATCTTTTAAGTCAGACAGACCTGACTTTAAATCTAGGTTTTGCTATAATGAGCCAGTTCCTCTGTGATGTAATAATGCACATCTCTATGTTTGAAGTTAATAATTAAATAAGATAATGTAATTATGTTCAGCCTTGGCTTCACATTTGATTTATCAGGGGAGTTTTTAGGAGAACCTTGCTCAGACCCTGTACGAAATGAATTACATTATATTATCTGTAGTAGGGCCTCATACTCTTATTTTAAGACTTCTTCCTGGGTAAAGCTCTTAGTATAATACTTAACTCAAACAGTATGTATAGGTGTGAAGGGGGCTCTCGAATGAAATGGGAAGTTAAATAGTTTTGGTTTTTCACAATGAAGCTTCTCAAAATTTACAATGGGCATATGAATCACCTGAGAAGTTTGTTAAAATGCAGATTCCAATGCAGTAACTGGCCTGTGGTGGGGCCTGAGATTCTGCATTTCTAACAGACTCCGTCAGATGCTAATGATGCTGGTCAATGGACCACACTTTGATTAATAAGGATCTACAGGAAAATCTAGCTTAGTTATGGAGCATTGGTCCATAACTAAGTTAATTATATATATATATATATATATATATATATATATATATACCAAAACAAAAACAACACATAACTTGCAGATGAGAAAATTGTGCTTTTTAATGTACAATAGGTTGTGTTTTCTCAGCTTGTTTACACGGTATTCATATCTCAGTTTCAGCAGCTGTTAAATGTTTCTCCATAAATGCTTTCTCCCAGATGCTTTAAATCCTCAATCTACCCTAAAACAAACTACTCCCTTCTGGATCTGAATCAGCAAAGCATGACCCTCAGATTCAGGCCTCTGTTTTTACATAATTTCCAACTAAGGGCTTTACCTTTTGTTAAAAAAAGAAAATTAGTTTTAAAAGGAAAGCAAATAATAAAACAACAAAGAAATAACAATTACTAACATAGGGCAAAAGGCACAACTTCCTTGGCGCTCTATTTCATGTAATAAACCCACTAGGCTTCCTGTGTTAATACATATGGTTGCATACTCCCCATACACATTTACATGCTATATAGATATTTATATTTTGTAAACAGAAGTTACAATTTAATCAAAGCTGAAAGAGGTGTGCTTTTCATCATTAATTTTATTATTACTGTCTTTTAGAGATGTAATACCCAGGACAGTGATTCGGCAACTCTTTGATTTTATAGAAAACCCCTCCTCATTTTCAAAATATTTTGTGAGTATTTTTCATGGAAAGTAATTTAAATTATTTTGTGAGTATTTTTCATGGAAAGTAATTTAAATTATTTAATGGGAAATGTTTGTCAACTTCTTGGTATCTAACCATAAAACCAAAAATGTTGTTTCCTAAGCCTAGGTTTGATATAAAGAATCAAAGGATCTTACTTCAGAAAAGATCCTTTATTTTATTTTATTCTTTTTAATTGTGTTTGAAGCTGTGGCCAAGTAGGTCTTTATTCAGCATTACAAAACAAAGTTAAAAGTCTTTCATCTCTTCCATGAACAATTATGATGCTTCAAGTTTGATTCCAGAAAAGACACACTGCTGCAAATTCAACTGTTTTATTTTCAAAGGAGCAGTGGCTGGGGATGGAACTGACATGACTGAGCACTTACTGTGTGTCACATACTTAAATATCCACCCACCCCCATTTAATCATCATAACACTATCATGAGGCAGGTATTATATTATCATCATCAAGAATCAGGTGGTTTGACAGTTTGATCCAGTTCTTCAGTTTAGAGAATTATGACAGCCCCATTTGAATAATTTGTATTCAGATTTAAAGAGAAAAACCACATTATTATGTCTGTTTCACCTAGTCTTTGAGAATAGTGTTTTTAAAATGTTATTCTGAAGCATTAAAGTAGAATAGAACTTTAGGGATGTAATTCTAAGTGCAACATTGTATCTAGGGAACAAGGGTTTCCTCTTGGACTGCTCCCAAATACCTGCCCCTCCCTGTCTGTATCCAACCCTGACCAACCAGGGCACATACCGTGCCAGCTGACCTCTTCTAGGGAAGTTGGTATGTACA